CAGCAGCTTATTTTACTCTACTCGTTTAATTTTTCAAAAGTAACTAAATAAAAAAAAAGAAATTATGTCTCAATAAAAAAAATAAAATAAACTTAAAATGAAAGAAAACATTTATTTTAATGATATCAGTTGTACTTACAGTTAACATCCAGTCTGGTTCCTCCACCGAACGTGTACCACAGTGATACAAACTGATGGAGCCGTCGTACAAAAACCTCTGACTGTTAAAGACACGGCTCTCTGACTCTGAACATAAACAACTCTTTTAAAAAAATCTGCTTGTACACATTTCTCACATAAAACCAAACCTGGAGACAAAACTTCATCCATATTAGAACTTGATTAATTTTTTAATGTAGGGTTGCCATTGCTACATAAAAAAATAAATCACAAAATCCTCAATCCATTTTTAAAGATGCTAAATGAGAGACACAGCTCTCTGACTTTAACATAAAATATCACAATAACAATAAATTATCTTTATTTAAAATTTTTCTTGTGTTGATTCTCTATTTATTCTGTTTACGATTAGATGACTGTTCAGTTTTTCTGTCATCAAGCATTTAGATCTCTGTTAGTATGTCATATATTTTGTGAAGCTCATCTGACAAACATTCATAGAAAATCTAAATGGTGGATGTTCTTTTTATCAAAATTTCATAAAATCTAAAATATTGGTTTACCAAAGAGACTGCAATTCCCAAGTACAAGACCTAAGGGGATAGTTTATCTTAAGGAAAACTTTTTTTTTCCATTCAGAGACTGTTTCATTTTAACTAAGGCTAGGCTAAGGTTCAAAACTGGAAGACTTAAATCAGCCTCAAAGACTGAACCTTAGACAGGTGGCTATAGACAGCCTGTTTAGTGGATGCGAGGTTGAATTCATTCTGAACCTTATGTCTTTTAATCAAAGAGTAACACAAACAAACAGAAAAGGTCGTCATATCAATTAACCTTCAGTCGTGTTTATAACTGAATGAATTTATTAGATAATAATTAATATTTATAGAATTGCAGTGCTTAAGGTGGCTGAGTGTTGGAGTAGCTCTGCAAGCTTGACTCTGATATTCTTCTTTTTAAGCTCTCTTTAGAACAATATCAGAGTCTTAAAAAGACTCTGATACTGTTCTAAAGAGAACTTAAGTTCCTCCCTTTGTGAGGCGTTTAGTGCTGTGAAGCTCAAAGGATTTTTACTGCAATTCATCCTCTTTGGATACTTTTTGTGATGCATAATCAAAGCAACCATAGAGTAGCAACAAAAACAGTAGATTTTTGTTAACACCAAGGAAAAGTAAATTTATATCTCCTAAGCTGAAAACATACTTCAACTACTTGCGCAAGTACTAGCTGAGTTGAAAAGAGGTGCCGGGGATGCAGAGCAGTATAGCAAAGAGAGGAGAGAGGGAGAAGACATTTAACTTAGACAACTTTTGATATCATGTTGTATACATAGGGGGAAATTTGAAATTTCATTTAGTATAACTTTTCAGAGAGGAAATTAGCATATCCATCAATCATAATGGGCTATGTGAGATCTTTAGTAAACAAGTTAGAAGAACTCAAAATCCTAGCAAGTTACTAATAAGATCAAACATGTCATCTCAAGGCACTTTACAGACACAATTCCACCAGATCATCCAGTCAGATTGGTTGAATGTTTTCTAATTAAGGAAAACCAGCTAATTACATTGACTCCACAGCAATCCCTCAAACCAAGCATGCTTGTAGCAACAATGGAGAGGAAAACTACCTTTTAACGGGATGAGACCTCCAGCAGAACCAGGCTCAGTGTGAGCGGCCATCTGCCGAGGCCGACTGGGGTTCAAGGAGACAGGAGCAGAGATACAGAAAGAAGCAGAGATACAAAAGGCAACTGTCAACCTACTTCACAGGTGGCCCTGTCCAGGAAACACAGCCAGACAGAAGAGCTCTGAGCCAGCTCCCATGTCAGAGAATGAAGAGAGCACATCCAGTTAGTCACAGTCATATAAACAGGACTACAATGAAAAACAGACCAAGCTAATGTGCCTTTGAAAATAAAAAGTTAAAGTAACAGAAAAACACTTTACGCAAGATTTGTGATTTAGTTGCTGCCTTTAACAGAGCAGTAACTGAAACAGTTCCCACCCCACCCTAAAATTGTGCACATTTTTTTTAAACATTTCTCTTGGGTTAATGTCAGTGTGGTACCCTTGACAAAGCCTTAAAACATGTTTTGAAAATTAAGTTTTCCATTCACATCCACATTCCTTTCAATAAAAAGCAGCACAATATATATTTATATTAAAAATTGAAAGAAAAAATACATTAAATCACATTAATATACCAGTTGATGTAGTTAGCACAAATCTCACAGAATTGGGAAAGACACATGATGTAGAGTTCAGCTCCATGTGACTGACTCAGTGTGTTTGCATATGTGTCCTCCCTCTCTGCTCCCAGCTGTTAAGAGGTCAGTGTTGATCAGAGGCTGTCCAGGTCTTTCAGAGCCACTGAACCACCAGCAGCACAATGATGATGTTACTGACTCTACTGCTGACCATCCTGGAGCTCCTGGTTCAGGGTGAGACTCTCTGCTGAAAACTTTGGCTTAAGATGTAACCATGTTCCCCAGGATACAATATCAACCAGCTTTGGTTTAGATTGTGAAATAATTTCTTAAAGCTAAACTTTTCCTCAAGAACATTTATTTTTTTATTTTGTGTTTCTAGGATCTTCAGGTCAGTGGGTAACCCAGACTGAATCTCAGTCTGCTGTTCCAGGACAGAATGTCTCTATTGAATGTATTGTCAATCCATCAATTTATACCTGCTTCACCTGGTACCTTCAGAAACAAGGAGATGCTCTTAAACCCCTTTTTAATTGCAAAGGAATCCGTCAGTCTGGAGTCCCTGATCGTTTCAGTAAAGGTGGTCCTGGTTTTGACTTCACTCTGAGAATAAGTGGAGTTCAGCCTGAAGATGCCGCAGTTTACATCTGTCAGAGTTGTCATTTCTACGCCTTTAAGCTTGTGTTCACACAGTGAAAAACAGTCGTACAAAAACCTCTTTCAGTCAGACTGAACAGAAACTCCAGCTGAATGTCAGAGCAGACTCTGAAATGGATCACTAAACACACAAGAGTAACAGTAATTTTAAGTAAATATTTTCTCAAAAAAATACATTAGCTTGTATGATGCACACAAAAATATATTTTTGGTGCTTTGATAAGCTTTGAAATGAACTAAAACTCTTTGTTATGAAGATAAAATTTTATGTCAGATTAGAGTGAAATGCAAACATTCAGGGCAAATTGGAAGAAAAAACATTGTTGACAACTCAGTGCAGATTTAGCTCTCCTGCCTGAACAGAGATTCTTTGAACAGTAAAACTATTTTTTAAGCTTTTAATTCTGGTTTAGAAAAAAGGTGGTCTCAAGGGGAATTTAGATGAAAAAACTTCAATTTAACCAATTATTGAATATTGAAAGATGCTTAATTAGAACATAAAGCTGATTAAACTGCTAATTAATTCAAATAAAAATAGTTTAATGGACTTTAAATGGTTTCAGAGGCAGTAGATCAAACTCTGAACACCACTGAAGTTCAAGCTGAAGATTATGTCAGTGCAGCTAGTTTGAACAACAATAGAAAAAAAAAATCAATAAATTAACTAACTACAATAAATGGAAGCACAGTTGATGACTGGTTATGCAAACTGGTTATTTATATATTTTCTTTCAATTAAAATGACAAAACGCTGGGGCACGGTTTTGACACTAAAGATTGTTTGGAAAAATAGTTCACCTGAAAAATCACTTTGACTCATTTTATGACATCATCACTAAACAGGCTTTCAGTCAATTTTAATCTTAAATTTCCCCAGATAATTTTTACTTTTTTTTCAGAGATTTGCCATCTTACAAAGTTAAACATATTATAAAAAATAAAGGTTTTGCAGCATTTTTTTTTATTAGTTTTCATAGTTTAAATGTTTAGAGGCTGCAGTAAAAATTTGGAATATTTCTGCAAAAAACCGAGCAACATTTTTTTTCTTTATCTTTATATGGAGATATATATAGTTTTATCCTATTTTATAAGAAAAACATGTAATTTGTTTAGAAAGTAAAATCTGATGAGTCCATAATCTAAAACAAAGCTTGAACCTTTTTCCAACCTTTTCGTCAAAGATTAGTTTCAAACCTAATGGGACTTTGTGGCATAGAGAGGAAGAATCCTCTCCAAATGTTTTGGTTCTTCCCATTTGTTGTGACTCTGAGTTTTCAGATTTCTGTTATCAGTTGTTCTGTTTTGTCCTTTGATTTATTTTCCATTATTCAAGCATTCTTTAGTTACTCTCTGTTGCCCCCTTGTGTATGTTTTCTTTCCCCTTGGATTCCTTCTTGCCAGTTCCACCCACACCTGCTCCTTATTCAGCTCATTAGTCCATCCTTTGTTCTTTTCTCCTTAAATACTTCACCCCTGCAGTCACTCAGTGCTGGTTTCCTGTCATTGCTGTAGTTGTCTTCTCAGCTCATCTCTCCCTGGCTCCTCATGCTCGTTTTCCTCTGATGTCTCCATGGTTTTTGGTTTGTTTAACATTTTAAGTTGGATTTCTGGATTGCTGCCTCTGTTACCTGTGTTATTCAACTAAATGGGTCAGAACTCATCTCTGCTTCACTCGTCTCTGCATCTGGGTCGTCAAGCAACCAACCATTGTTGACACTAAGTTCTGATATGACCAAGACCAGATGTTCCATGTTAAACCATGTTGAACTAAATTAAGCAAAACTGTATGAAAATGTCTTTTCATTAATGCAAAATGATTTGTTAATTTGACCGTTATTGACCCCACATATAACAGATGTGATGGTTTATATTTCTATTATGTTGAAAATATTGAGGGTCGTGAGAAGAAATAGAAGGTTCAAGAATGAAATCTGATACAAATTTTACAGACAATACACTTGGCTGTAAAACACTTCAAAAAGTAGCATAGTGAAAAGAAAAAAAACAAGTCAGGTTGTCACTGGGAACACTGGTCTCTCCTCAGTGTCTCTGTGACTGCAGACTGGGAGCCCTGGGTGGCCTCACAGGTCACAGAGCCCACCTTCCTCCACTGGTCTGCAGGGAGCCTCAGGGTGCTGCTCCAGCTGTAGAGGCCGTCCTTCTGCAGCACTCCTCGGCTCTTGTTCTCCTCCCAGCTGAAGCTGCTGCTGCTGCCGTCCACCTTCCAGGACAGACTCCAGTCTGAGGGGAAGCCCTTGTTGGCCAGACACATGAGGGTGGCCTTCCCCTGCTGCAGCTCCCCAATGGAGGGGGGCAGCACTTTCTGGGTTTTATTTGTTTTTAAAACTCTTAATGGCCTTGCCCCTTCTTATCTGTCTGAGTTTTTGCATTCTTATACACCCTCCCGTTCCCTCAGGTCAGCTGATCAGTTGCTTCTGAGGGTCCCAAAGACAAAATGCAAGCTCAGAGGAGACCGTGCTTTTTCTGTGGCAGCTCCTAAGCTGTGGAATGATCTGCCTCTGAGCATAAGACAGGCCGCTTCTCTTACTGCTTATAAGTCCCTTCTTAAGACTCATCTTTTTTCCTTGGCTTTTGACTTACTTTGTTTTATTTTCTCTTTGTATACTAATTTGTATTTTACACTCGTTTTTTAATTTTTATTTATTTTTTTTATTTTATAATTTTATTGTATTTTATGATTGTGTACAGCACTTTGGTCCTGTCCGGTGCATAAAGTGCTTCATAAATAAAGTTGGTATGGTATGGTATAGGGTGGGATGGCGGGTGTCACCTAGGAGACACCAATCAGGTTAGAGAACATGTCAAAGAAATCTGTCAGTTAAACAGAAAAAATCTAAGCATCTTAATGATCCAGCAGTGATCTTCTCTACCAGGATGTTCCTGCCAGATGTCGTTTTGCTTCAACAGTCACTTCTTCACTTAATGTTTCACTTCCCCTCGTGAATCACCTCATGTATATCAGCCTTATCATAACCTTACATATTTAACTCAGACTTTAAGGAAAAAAATTTTATATTTTTATTGACATTTTAATCATACATTTCTCACTAGAATTTATTTTTAAAATGTACCCAATACATTTTACATTTAGCTTCTTTTTTTCCATGTTCCACGTCTATTAAAGATAAAGGCTCAGGTCAGAGAATTCAGATTACGTCACACATGATGTTATATATCAGCAATTATGGACATAAAAAAGCTTTTGAGAACTAAATTACAAAATCTTTTACAGAACCTCTGACTGTTGGAGACGCAGCTCTACGACTTTACAGACTTAACTAAATCCAACATATCTGGATCACACAATATAAACAAAGATACACTGATAAAACCATGGTGGAACATTCATATTATATTTTACTCTTAGATTTGAAAATATATAATCACCTTAGTGTCTCCTATCAGTGTATTGTTGATTAAAAATGTATTTACCAAAATTATTTCCACATTCTAACAATTATGAAACTAAATAAAAAGAAATAATTACCAAAGAAGAGAATAGTGCCAAACAGTTTTACTTACTTCCAAGCTCCAGTCTGGTTCCTCCACCAAACGTGTACCACAGTGATACAAACTGATGGAGCCGTCGTACAAAAACCTCTGACTGTTAAAGACACGGCTCTCTGACTCTGAACATAAACAACTCTGTAAACAAAATTGCTGCTTGAACACATTTATCACATAAAACCAAACCTGGGGACAAAACCAGAACCACGTTAGAACTTCTAATTTCATTTTTTTATCANGGAAGAGCATGAGTTCTTTGCCGAGCTGAATGCGCACTTTCATCCGGTTTGGTCTGCCGCGGTTTCCGTAGCGTCAGGAACGTGCAGGCGCGCGCCACTCCGGCCCCCTGACGCGCGCCGGGCAGAGCCACTCCAACCTCCACCCGCCCCGCAGCCACACCCGCCACGATCAGCCGGAACAAAGCAGCTCCACCATGCCTTCAAGTGGGAAAACCCACCCGAAAACCCAATCAGCGCAGCCAGCCCATCCACACCAGCCTATCCACACCACCCCTGCCGGAGGCTTCCAAGCCCCACACACACCAGCGGCGCGCCGCCAGCAGGACCCCCACCCAAAGGGCCTGCCCGCCCCCCGAGGAAAACAGACATGCCAATCCCCCCAAAGAAAAACCACCCACGGGCCGCCGAGAGGAGGACTGCCACACCAGCCGCAGCCAAACACCGAGCAACCCTCCACTCCTAAACTGCCCCCACGCACGATGCACCGCACCGCGCACCACCGGCACCAGTCCCAACAAAGCGAAGCCACACCCCTGACCTGGGGGGCATCCCAAAGGGGCCCCAGGACGCCCGCAACCAGCCCACAACAGACACACATGAACCCCGGCCTCAGGCGCGACCACCCATGCACCCCCGGATGACGCAACCACGCCAAGTGCCACAGCCAACCACCAAAACCCGGCACCGAAAGATGAGGCACGCCCCGACACCCTGCAGAACCGAAGCACCCCGGCCGGCACCACAAAAGAACCGATGCCCGGCACCCAGCAGCAGCACAGCTACCAGGCCAGTAGCCCACGTCCGCCACCACGGAACCCCCCAAAACCACCGCACGCGGCCGCCATAGGACCCCCAGGCCCCACCTCGATGGGGGCAACAGACCCCAGGGCTAGACCCACCAGGCACCCCGCTCCGAGAGCCCCCCCGAGCCCCCCAGGACCCAAGGATCCCCGAACCAGCCCCCGCACCCCATAGGACGCACCCCACAGCCCCCCACTACACTAAGTGATGGAGCTGATCAAGGGAGCCCAGAGAGATCGGTCTGATGGGGATGCAGATGCTGTCTCAAGATTAATATGATCCAACAACAGATCTCTGTACTGATTGATGCTGAGTTTATCCTTACTTTCCCAATTCATGAGGATAGTTTTCTTTGCGATACATAATGCAGTGAAGGCCATGCAAACCAGTATTCAAGGAGACAGTCAGTGGGCAAGTTCAAAACGTTTATTTAATGAAAAACAAAACTAAAAGGGGAGCTGCTAGGATCTGTGGCACACGGCACACTCTGGTAGTGGGAGAAACACAGGTAAGTGACCACTATCATCTGACAGATGATGATAATCTGAGTTGGTCACTTACCTGGTTTAACAGTCGAGTCCAATAGTGTCCCCAGTGCTGCAGTTCCAGAGGTCTTACAGGAAGTAGATCCTGGTCAGGGATTCAGAACAGACAGGAACAGACAGAACAGGCAGGATCCAGGCTTCCAGGCATCGTAGAGCTCCCAGGCGGGTTTAGAGTCCAACAGAGTGGAAGAGGGTAGCCGAGACAGGACGTGTAACCAGAACTTGATGTAGGACCTTTAAACTGGCCTGCACCTTGGAGCCAGCCTTACTTAGATAAAAACTGAACCTCCCCGCGTATAGAGCCAAAAACCCAGAGGACTCAGCAGGGGAGGAACAGTGGACGAGCAGGAGACGAGAAAGACTCAAAACCCTCTTTCCACTGGCCGCCAGGATCCAGGACATGAACCCTGGAATAAAGAGAACAAACTGGCTAATAGAAAGACAAATAACGATCTGGCCCTGAATGCTCAGGCTGAACAGAATAAAACCCAAAGGACACAGGTGAGAGGAAGAAATGATAATTGGCAGGGAGGGAAAACGACAGGTGAAAGAATTGACCAATTAACGGAGAGCAAACAGGCCAGATCATGACAACTTCAGCACAGATCTTCTTTGTGGAAAACTCTGAAAAAAGCTCAATGTTGCAGCGTTGCCAAAATTCACTGCATTGCTGGTTCACAAAGCCTCAATGTTAGGAATATATCCACTAAATGCACTTTGCTGTTATTTTGAATCCATTCCTTGCCTATTTTCATGTAAAACGTTTTGCATCAACATGCATCGCCAACTAATGTTTTGTGCTTTACAGGTTTTAGTAGAAACAGTTCAGCATTCATTATTACTGAGAGGTGGTGCAGTGGTTAAAATGACTGCCTTCAATTCATATTTTTTGCTTCGTTACAGGTTCGAATCAGACTGATGCAGTCCGACTTTTTTCCCTTTATATCAGGGGTGCTCAAGTCCAGTCCTGAAGAGCTACCATCCTGTAACTTTTAGATGCTTCTCTTCTCTAGCACACCTGAATCTAAAGCCTCAATCCCCTCATTTAGCTCAGCAGAGGTGTGGTAACGAGCCACTCATTTGATTCAGGTGTGTTAAAAATGGTTTCATCAAAAAGTTGCAGGATAGTAGCTCTTGAGGACTGGACTTGAGCACCCCTGCTTTATATTCTCCATTGGCGTAGGTTTGCATAGGGACATGTCCCTACCACATTATAGACTGACCTACTTGTCCCTACCAATAATTGGATGTGAACAAAATGATTATAATTTACTAGCAGTAGTTGTTGTAACAGTGGCTTCTTTTCCTCTCTCAGCTCCCCTGCCTGGTAGCTGCAGCTGCCTGGTCTTTCATGTCCCTTTCCCATAGCAGCACATCAACTGTGCTGCACTGTTTAACTGTCTGATTTTTCTGCCTTAAGTTCCATCTTCTGTCTCTTCGACTGATTGTTTTCTAGTCTGTGTGTGTGCGCTTGCTTGGAGCACGAAATAAAAAGATAAAAATAACAAAAAAATGACGCTAGAATAGGCGGTTACCAAAATTAATATTAGGCTACGAAATTAATTTAATAACTAAATATGATCTACGTTAAAACAGGTGAAAGCTTCTGATTACAATTATGTAAAGAAGCAGGAGAGAGTTTGGATTTGTGGAACTTGAGAAATGAAAGTAACCAACGTTAGGATTTCTTTATAAAACTAAATATTCAGAGTCAGACAGGAGTTCAGAAAACTGCTGTTAAAATGAACAAAGACTGTTAACTATCAAAATTTCTGATTCCCTTTCACCAGTATTTCTTGCTATTACTGTTTTCATTTTTGACGGCAGTTCAGGTATAAACAGGTATGTTATTTCTTTTGTAGAACATAACAACAGGGACACTAAAGATCTGCTATTTTTTTGTTTTCCACATAAAAATATTTCTATTTAATTGATTTCTACTTCTAGAAATAGAATAAAGACAAACAGAGGAACTCTATTTACACACGGTCCATAAGTAAATTAGTACAAACATTAATGTCTGTAAATAATGCTTGAATCTGGCTGTTTATTTTGGTTACTATTACATTACAGATAAGATAGTGTTATATTGTCTTTTATAATTGTTAAAAGTAATTTTATATTTATATAAACTTAGGCTCATTCTTAGTGTTGTGCTTTGTAGATCATGCCACTAAAAAAGAAAATAGACAGACTTCCGGTTTA